ATTATTATTATTATTACTTATTATTATTATTATTATTATTATTATTATTATTATTATTATTATTATTATTATTATTATTATTATTATTATTATTATTATTATTATTGTTATTATTATTATTATTATTATTATTATTATTCCTATTCTTTATTCTTATTCTTATTCTTCTCCTTATTATTATTATTTTCTTTTTTTCCAAAATTATCTCGTTCACTCGTTGAATTCTAATTTATTGATCGATAAATGCGCTTCTACTTTATCTTTTTTTCTTTTTTTTTTTCAATTAACGAAACACGCATTCTGCCTTCATTAATATGCAGCTTATGAAAAAAAACTCTATTGTATTACTGTATTAACTCTATCTATCTATTTATCAGTCTGTCTACTTATTGATTGATCGATCTGTTTATCTATCTGATATGATATGGATGAAAATAAAATGAACGTACAGGTATTGATCTACCTGTCTATAAATTATTATATTTTCATTTAGTGATAATACAACTGCTCTATGTGTTATTTATCGCTTTTGCTACTTTACAAATGCAAAAATCATGGAGAAATTTGCTAGATATCATTGAAAAGTTGGTTTTTATATTTTAAAACATTTTGAATTTTTTATTTTTTTTTTTAATGAATGAATCGTATGGAAGATGATTTTATGAACTAAAATAATAATTAAATTAACTGTCAAATATCTCTCTTATCATTCCATACATTTCGTTTTCTAATTTAAATAATTAAAGGTAAATGGGAGAAGATATATTATTATGAAAAATTTTAAAATAAAGAGAGGGGAAGGGCAATAATAAAATTAGTTCAAATGAATATAATAGATCTAATGAAATAATCAAATATCACTTGATATGTTTGAAGGTTTATCAAATAAGACAGGGAGTACTTTGCTAATTTTATCATAAAGACCAGAAATGCTGATTTTGTTAATATTTGTTAGGTATTTTTGAGCCAAATCAATTCACTCATATTGTTTTCATTTATTATCATTTATTAATTAGTTTAAATTATTCGAAATAACTTAATAATAATGATAATAATAATATCAATTACTATTTTATGAATGATAACCAATGATTAATGATGACTATAGTAGTCATGATAATGATAACGATAGTAGTATTAATTGATATGGAAAGAAATGTGATTATTTTGATAGTTTGTACAACTTCAAACATTTTTACTATTATCAAAGAAATGAAATGAATAGATGAACTTTGTTACATTCACATAACGTTATTATTTCATCAGTGTCCACTTCCGCCAAACTTTCTGACACTTCCGCCAAACCTCCTGACATTAAGCAATTCTTTTTAAACAGAAATTCAGTAAAGCTTTTGAGCATATGTTTAGCTCAGCTTTTCAATTCTTACTAACAAATGTTTAAAATAAGCTGTACAAATTCAAGCAAAATTTAACAAATATTTTTATTAATAACTTATTTTATCGCAATAATTATGATTATTATTAATTAAACAAGAATAATGATAAATGATAAATAATAAATTTGATAAAGTTAATTATTTCAGTGGGCGAACAGAATATCAAAGTATGGAAGAGATGAGGAGACGAGCTCGTGTCGAACGAACATTTCTAAGGTTTGTTCTATTTTTGCTATGCAGGTTTCCCTTTTTTTTTAATTTTTATTTTCAACATCCTGACAATTAATTCTGTTGTCGTGTAAATTTAAAATTTCCCTCTTGATAAAATGGTCTCAAGAAGTCCACTTGTTGTCCTCTATCAGAAAAACTTTGACGTTTCGATTATTTATCTTACGTCGAATATCCTTCATTTACTCATGAGTGTTTGGAGTTTTTTAATTATTAATTTTAAATCAGCTAATTTTTTTTTAGACATTCAAGTCGAGAATTGCAAAGTACGATGAATGGTAACTCATCAAATTCTCGAGATCAAACATCATCCTATAGAACCAAATCACCGATCATTTCATCCCGCATTTTCTGGTATTACATTGTACCTGCTATTATTGTTCAACACAAATTACGAATGCTTCTTAAGATCAATTAATTTCAAATTACATAAGTTCAATCCAATGGATTGCTTCATTTAAATTGAGTTTTATGCAAAAAAAAAGAAAAAAAACTCTTTCCATTTTTCTTTTTCCTTTATCTAACTAATAAATAAAATCAATTAATGATTAACTGATAAGAGATAATTAGTAATCAATATGTTTGCATTATATGCATTATGGATATATATATACATATATATTTCTTTAATTATTATTCTCATTAAAACCCCGCTTTTTTTTAAAGAAATTTCATTTAATTTGAATATGCTATTAAATTTCGATTTCCATTGATATAGAAGGTGTGATGGTAAAAATAATTTGTAATTTAAAATTAATAAAGTAATAGTGATTTGATTTAATTTTGAATTACTTTTTTAAAAATTACCAAAAATTCATATCATGAAAAGATTAATGCAATTAACTGAAAGTGTACTTATTGAGCTAATTAAAATGCATGTTGCTTTTTGTAATACCTTTTACCTTATTTATTTGCTCGATATTTTGCATGAATGATCCTGCATATCCGATATTAGTAATTTTCCCTGAAATAATATTGATTGTTAGGATCATTCTATAAGGGAAAAATGCTGATAATTTTTTAAGCTTTGTCCTTTGCTTTGCTTTTAAAATAATCATTGTGTTTACTGTAGCCGTTCGCAAATTTGTCTACGAAAATGGCTTGGTGGACGCCTTCATGGTGTGTCACCATCCTCATCTATCAAAACAACTCAAGCAAAAGAGGCTGTGACATCATCGATCGGAACGCTTGATAATAATGCACAACAACTCACTGGTTGTACCTCACCATGCTCAACTTTATCACCGATATCATCGGTGGCTACTTCAGATGGTACTTCAAAATTTCAGCAACCTGAAATGTCTCATGATATTGATACTGTACAAGAGGAAAGTAATGATAACAATGATGATGATAATGATGATAACAATGACAAGATTGATAGCAAAATTGGTAACTCAAACGTTACTGAGCAAAGGTTTCTTTTACTTTCTTTTATGCTTTTTTTTTTTATACATTAGTATTATTATTGCTTCTAACATTAGTCAGTTTGCTTTTATCTCTGTTTACTAATTAAGTTAATTAAGAATAACGGTGTATATGGATATACATATATGTGCATTTTATATTTGAGAGTGAAGAAATGCTTTGACATAAAAAAAAAAATTCATTACAATGATCCTTTGCTATTCCTTTATCGCATAGCTGCATGACTCCTCAGGAAGATATTCGAGAGACTGCATACCCGCATGATTCCTCAGGAAGATATCCGAGAGACTGCATACCCGCATGATTCCTCAGGAAGATATCCGAGAGACTGCATACCCGCATGATTCCTCAGGAAGATATCTGGAAGATATCTTTGCATGCGCTCATTCATTCATTTCTCAGATTGTCACTTACAGAGTTGACCTTTGATTCCGTTTCTATAATTTTCTGTTATTCTTATTTTGCAATAAATATGCAAAGTAGTAAATTACTATGAGAATGTTGCGCGATTGCATGCTATCATTGATGTTATAATTGCATGCAATATTTGTAATTAAAATAGATTCGAGAATTGAATTCATAATAAATTTTCACTCTTCTCTCTCTCCCTCTCTCTTTCTCTCTCTCTCTCTCTCCCTTTTTCTCCCTTTCCCTCTCACTTTCTATTAGAATTGTTTCAGATTTTTCTTTCAAACAAATTACTGAATAATAATAACATGAGAATTTTGTAATATCTGAATAATAATAGCATGGGAATTTTGTTATATAAAAATAATTTTGAAAAACTTAAACTTTATTTATAGCAAATGATTAAATGAACCATTCCTTTTAATATATTCTTAATTATTTCTACTTGAAATGATTTTTCAGAAAAAAAAGGAAGAAAAAAAAAACAAAGAAATAAGGGAAAAAGATAAAAACAAGCATCTCTTTTAGTACTATTTAATTTACTTTTAATTTACTATAGTAGTGTTTAATTTAATTTTCAAGCATATTTAATAATCCCAATAATATATTTAATTTTCAAATATATTTAAATTAATAATATATTTAATATTTAATTGTTTTTATTTGAAAAATTCAGTCTTTGATCTTTTTTTTAAAAATTCAATCTTTAATCTTTTTTTTTCATAACTTTATCAATCTACTATATTTAGACTGATTCTTATCGATGTAATCTTTATATTTCAATTTCATCTTTATTGCAACTACTGTAATATTTCTGCATTGATTAAATACAGAAGAAAATGAAGATATTTGCTAAAAATAAAAAGAAAATAAAATATTATCAGTATGAAAATAAACTTAACAATTAGAATTAAAATATTATCATTAAAATATTTGCAATTAAAAATATTATCAGTATGAAAATAAACTTTATAATTTACAGGATTGTATCCATTGCATATGACCTATGACCTGGATTATAAATGCTTTTATTATATGACAATATCGGTTTTCTTCATCAATCCAACTATTTCTTAATCCCATTGATAAACTGTAATCATTCCTACATGATCCATCTTAACTTCCATACTTCTATTCCATTTATTCGTACAGTTTAGTTGATTATTTAGTTTGTATCTCGAAAAGAGAGAGAGTGATGGTCATTGAAATTGCAAAATGGAATGACTAACTACTGATTGGTCAGTTTGTTATGCAGTTATACTCACACTATCATTACACCCATCATTTGACACTTGACACTTACTGAATGCTGATATTTCATTTCCCCTTTCTCTTATAATATTAATTATCATATCATAATCATAAATAATATATTATAATCATAAACTCAGTATATTATAATCATAAACTATTTTTATCTTATCATTTATTCTAAGAAGGCCATAAAAATTTCAACATAAATGATGATAATTTATCACTGTAAATCAGTGATTAATCAAATTCTGTTCAAAATTATCTAGTCAAAATCTGTTTTCAAATAATCCTTTCCTGAAGAATTACAATGAATTGAGGTGAGATATGGGAACTTAACAGATACAATTACACTTACCTGAAGCTAGTAGATAATGATTCTTATCATCATCTTATCTCTATCATCAACAATCCTAATAATATCCTGACAATATTTAATTAACATTTTGCTATATTACACTCATATGACTAATTGATACAAAGTGGAAATAGTTAGTTTAAAATTTTCTACGCATTATTCAACAAATTTTAACTTCATTGTATGACCTTATTTCGATTCTTAATACTTCTTGAATGTAGAAATGAATATATATGATCGGGTAATGATTGAAGAGTTGTTGTAAAGATACAATTTTTTCTTTTTGGAAAAATAAAGAGAGTATCAGAGGTCATTGTTACCTTTACCTTTTACCTTTTATGTCATTATTTTTCTTTAAATTTGCTCATTTTGTTATTTAATTTCCATGAATGAGTAAACTTTTCTTATTTTTTTACTCTTTCAGCTAAAATTTTCCCAATTTCATTAATTTTTCTAATTGGGTAATTTTAAGATGCATTGAAATATTTTACATTTTCTACATTTTTAACCTTTTTTTCTTGCCTATTCTTACATTTTTTAGAATATCTCTTTTTTTTCTCTTTTTCTAAATCTCAAGACTTTGTAACAAATTTTCTAAAAAAAAAGATTAAATGAACTTCCGTTTTGAATTTGTCATAATTGATGATGACATTTTCTCTTTATAATTACTTTTTGGATGAAATGTCATTGCTATTTAATATAATCATAGTATGATCAATAATATTCTGTCAATTCATTTATTCGCAATCTTTGCTCAATTTGTTGAAAAAATTCAAAACATTAACAAATTTCCGCTCCCAATTTTTCTCTTTTTTTTTTATCATTTCCTTTTTCTTTCTTATCATTTCTTTCATTTCTTTTCAATACCTTTAGCTGATCAAATTTCTCTTCAATTTAGAAAATATTATCATTAGGGAAGCATCTTTGCTTTATTTTTGTTTTAAAATTACCTGATAAGACAGTGTTATCAATTGGTACTTGATGTTATCACTGATTAAAAATATATCAACCTTGAAATATAGAGTTTTACAATTTGTAATCAGTTACGAAAGTTATTAATTCTTTGTGTCTTCTCTTCTTCTATTTTAATTTTGGTAAAAATTAACGAGAAATGATATTATTTCTCTTTTTTTTTCATTTTGAATTAAATTAATTTAATTAAATTTCCTCACAATCATCATACTTTACCATTTACCATTTGTGCACATATATTTATATAATTCTCATTTGATCATTTCTTTTTTCTCAATCAACGAAAAGTTATTTTTTAGTACCAATTTGTAAAGGTCATAAATCTTTTTTTTTTTCTTTTCGCAGTATTGACCTTCATTTTCACGAATTAAAATTTAACAATTAATTATCCACTAGAATATTCACTGTCAGCTGTTTGCTAAAATGAATCCTTTGAAAAGATTGTTGTAAATGCTGCCGTTATTGTTATTTTTTTTTTATAATTAAAAGTTAAAATTTAAAAATAGCAAAAGCCAGTGGGAGTATGTAAGAATATTGATTTTTTTTTTATTGAATTTTTACATGCAATGAAACTAATTTTTTGTTAAATTTCTTTTTTGGGAAAAAAATTTATAAAATTACAATTTATTGAATTTTACTTTAAATATTATTATACAAACATATTATTTCATCTTAAATTTGATTATTTCATTCTTATTATAAAATTCAAATTATTGTCATAAATTTTGAATTTAGTTTCTTCCGGGAAAGTAATTATAATAATTGAACTTACAGTCTCATTTACAATCAAAAGGATAAATTTTTGAAATATTCAAATTAAATTTCTTCCAAAATTAGAATAAAAACGATAATAATTCACTTATATATATAGGTGTGTATGCGTGGGTGTATGTGTGTGTGTGTGTGTGTGTGTGTGTGTGTGTATGTATATGTATCCATTAAGATGTAGAAATGTGGAAGAGGTCATAAAATTAAATTTTTAGGTTATATGACGAATAATAATTTCTGTAGTATACATTTGATTTAAATGTGAGAGGAAATGATGTTGCATTACAAAATTTTACCACTTTTCAATTTAAACCTCAAAATATCGATCTTCTTTACCAATCGTTGTCCTCATTTATCGTTTTCCTGTCATTTTCAAAATCGTAATAATTGCAAAAGAAGGTAAAACGAAGAAATACTTTATTATTATTCCCTCTTTCCCTCTCTCTCTC